TGCCCCTCTTCACAGGCTGCTGGAAAGGGGGAGGCCAGCAGAGGGTGGTCTGGGAGCAGGTCTGTGCCCAGGAGGACTCGTCCAGTGTGGAGTGGGATAGCTGAGAAGAGGGTCTGCTTTGCACTGTCTGGAAGTGTGCGCATGTGCTTGTGTGCACGTGTGTTTGTGCTGCGTGTGTGCAGCCCCAGCAGGCTGTACACTGACATGCATCTGCTCCCTTGTCTGGAACAAAGGCAACTCCCCCTCCCCTTCACTCCCAGCCGGCACAAGCCAAGCATGAAACACCTGCCTCCTCGATGCGAGAGGACTCGATCGCAATTTCTCCACCATGAACCACCAACTCACTCCACAGCCCCACSTGGGGACAGTGACCCGGCAGGGGACCCCAGGGAGGGTGTTGTACACAACTCCAGAAGGGAAGCTGGGGGAARGACCCAGAGCTATCCAGTCCCAGCGCAGAATCCCCCATGCTCACTCGCCCAAAAGCAAGGAGAGGGAATTGGCTGCACACAGAGGTTCAGTCYGAGGCACCCTGGCAGTGTAGCCAGAGCACGGGAGAGGTGCTGGAGGATGGAACGGGACTGCTCTCCATGGGAGCTGAGGGGATGGAAGGACAAAAGCTAAAGCCCCTCTGCCTCAGGCCAGCGGCCGGAGATGAAGGACCCCAATCCCGGGACTACAGCCTCAGGTCGCGGCCGGCGGTCAGCACCGCGGACAGCTCCACGGCCGGCGGTCAGCACCGCGTACAGCTCCTGCCGCCGCCGCACCGCTGCACCCCGGCACCGGCAGCCCCGCGCCACTGCCCCCCTGCCCAGGGGCTGCCCCTCCAAGCCCCCAAGTATCCTTCCGCATCYCGGTCAGCAAGCCAGCTCTCTGCCCCATAGCCCGCTCCTGGCCTCACGTACTCCCGTTGTTGTGTCCCCCGCACATCCTGATGGCCCGCTGGACACAGGCTGTCCATCTCCGCTGCCCTCTGCACGCACACAGCCTTCTGCCCTGTATCTGCAGCCCCCCGGGCCCACTCACTGCCCACGCACACGCCTTCCTCCACTGCCTGTGCGCTGCTTGCACCCTCCTCACAAGCACAACTCCGTGCYCCACTGCACATCTGTCCCCATGCCCCACTGCATGAGTACACCGTGCCCCGCAGTACGCTCATCATCATGCCCCACTGCACGCATTTCCATGCATCCCATTCCACAGACATCCGGTACCCTCTACACAGGCATCCTTGTATCCCATTATGCAAACACTCCCTGCACACGCATCTCTATGCCCATCGCCCACACCGTGTCCCACTGTATGTGCACCCCGTGCCCCATGGCAAACACACCCCACACCCAACTGGGGACACTTCTGTACTCCACTGCATATGTGTCCCAAACCCCACTGCATGCTCGCCCCATCCCTTGTGCCACACTTGCCGTGTCCCATCGCATACGCACCCCATATCCCAGGATGCCACCCCCCCCATAGCTGTGCTCTTCTGCTCCATTCTCACCCGCACCCTGCCCCAAGCCCCACATCCCATTGCTCATGAAGCTCATCCCAATCTGCACAKGTACCCATACAAAGCTCATCCCCTGCGCCCCACCACACGGACACCCATACCCCACACCGGCAGCCCTTCTGCCCACATCTTACCCACTCCCTACCCCACTGCGTGCACGCCCCACATCCCATTGTTCGTCTACATCACACCCATCGCAAGCTCATCCCTCTGCCCCACGGCACCACAGAGAGCCCACTCCTCACGCCTCCAGCCCTCCGGCCCACCGCACACACCCCCGTGCTCCATTCTCACCTGCCCCCGCCCCACTGCGTGCACACCCCACATCCCATTGCTCGTGTACCTCACGCTCACTATATGCTCATCCCCCTGTCCCACGGCACCCTATCCTCTGCTCCGCCGCCCGGACCCCCGCGCCCCGTGCCTGCAGCCCCCTGCTCACCGCACACACCCCCGCCCCACTGTGCGCACACCCCACATTCCATGGCTCGCGTGCCTCACACCCATCGCAAGTTCATTCCTCGCGTCCCGCCGCACGGATCCCCGCGCCCCACACCTCCTGCCCAGCGCACACACCCCCATGTTCCATCCCCACCGGCCCCCGCCCCACTGCGCGCACCCCCGCATCCCACGGCTCCGGTACCTCGCACCCATCCCATACTCACYCCTCGCGTCCCGCCGCACGTACCCCCGCGCTCCGCTCCAGCATCTCTCCCACCCACCGCCCACACGCGTCCTCCGCGGTGTCGCCTCGCCCCCGCCGCGCCAGCACCCTCGACGTGCTCTCTCTCTCGCCCCGTCCCGCGCTCGCTCCGCCGCCCCAAACCCGCTCTCCCCCGCTCCGGTCTCCCGGCGGCGCTCACCGGCGGCGGGCGGCGGCAGGAGCAGGAGCGGCAGGAGC